CCACCACGAAAGGCTATTAGCGGTCGTCTCGGCACCTGCGGAGCTGCGATGCGTCGTATTATTACATGTCGGTAAGAGTAATTATACACACTTACTATAATGTTCCCGCGAGGAACGACATTTCAAGCTCGCTGAGAGAACCGCGATCGGGATGCTGTATCAAAGATGCGCAGAAACTTGGCCGGTCCCCCCCATCGGCCTAGGTTGTCTGTTAATTGAGTACCGGATATCATACTTAAGATAAACACGTACAAGGTCAACTTGAACATGATTGAGAAGGCCTCTGAACATCTCAGAGCCCTCTGCAAATGCTTTTAAGCCTTGCCGCTTCCATTTCGCGAATCTAATTTGGTTCGTCCGTCAGTATACACAATGAGACAGCGAAAAGAAAGCCAAGACCTTGCAGGGATGCGATTCATCCAAGGGAATATATCAACGAGATAGGACCCTATGATCACAGAGTGGCTGATACGGTCGTTGAATGCCTCAATTTTTTCGACGCCATGATCATGCTCTGACAGGATCGTCGGGTAATCGTAAACAATCGACATGATTCTGGAGGTTGCTGCACGTTTAAAATGCCGATCTTGTTTGAGATTGACTGAGGGGTTGAGCAGCGACGAAATCAGAATGGTAGCCTCCTTCGTCTGAACAGGATGATAGTTTTGCAATACCCTCTTTGTGAGGGCTTCGTGCGCGGCACGACGCATGCGACGCCAGCTATTTAAAGACATGAACATCACGTGATATCTTTAGCACGTACTGTACTCACCAATCATTGTATCCCATCAGTGAAAACAGTAGTCCACCGTTAAGGATCTCCTGTGCCATAACGAACCTAGGACGATCCGAGTAGTTTCCCGAACGGCGCTCGAGTAGTTCGAAAGCTGATTTGAGACTGTTACAAACAATGATGGGCTGTCCAGCCCCGTCGAGGTACAGAACCTCTCCTGCAATTTCGTAGACCCACATTTAGCATCCTGCCGGGCATATAATCAATGAGCTCACCGAAACGTTCCTTGCAATCTTTCGAAATTAGCCAGCTTTTATCCCTCAACTGAAGCGCATTCCCAAGGATTGGTAAACGCCGAGGACTGGGAGGTAGCTTTCTCCACGGGCTTCTGATATAGCAAACGGCGGAGATGATCACCAGCCCGAGTACGATGCCTGTGGTCAAGGTCTTGGCCTCCCAGATCATCTTGATGATGGATGCACTCAAAGGCCGTAAAAGCATGAGGTTGGGGGCCACCACATCCGTCGCAGAAACGGTTCCTTCGCCAGGTGAAGACACATATGTCGAAGCGTCAACGGTCCCACAAGGCCAACCCATGGACTTGATCGCGGTGGCCAGGGTGGTGTGTGCCATAAATGTCTAAAAGAATGTCTACGAAAGAATTACGACTTGTCCAATGGTCTTGTACTTAAGGCAACGCCACTGTCGCTTTAGATGACAAAATTTGTCTGAGAGAAGAACAGAGGGAACGTCGTTTTTATAAATTCGCCACCTCCTGGACGGTGATATGTCGCCTTGCTCTGAAGTCCAATAATCATAAAGTAACTGCATAATACGAGGCTCCGCAGCATTCGGCTCCTAAGCATGGTCGGCAGCTGCGATGGCCTCACTGATAAATTGTGATGGATGATGTCGACCATTCGCACGCTGCCCGCGCTCTCAGTTATCTCTTGTAGGGATACGTCTGACTTTTTATGTCGGTACTCGCTTCCGGACGCTTTAGATATCACCTTCCAAGAATACATTTCGAGGCAGGTCAGTCTACACTTTGATGAATGAGTCTCTTGTTATGAAGAATGGTGACCTTGAGAAGTCTATCATATGGAAGCATTTCACGGGGGCGGCAAGGTGGACTATCCGGGTCAACGAAGATCGCAAGGTGTGTTCTTGCTTGGGCTCCAGAGCGTTGCCCAGAAGACGTATTGGGAACATGAGTCATTTATTATTTTTGGTCGAAGTGCCCAACAACGATGTATGCCGCATGGACGGGAGGCACTCACCTGGACCGGCCAAGGGTGAGTTAAAAAATCTCAGGACTTGTGTCCGCAAGTGTAGTGAATACGGGAGATTATAAGCCTATGGACCACGCCCCCATGCCCCATGGCGGTGGTAGCACGGACGATCAATGCGCTCAAGGCAAAAGGGAGAAAAACGGTGTCACTCAGCGGTGTCCACCCTCACGTGCAGGTGCATTCGCACCCCGGGAAGGTAGGGGAAGAAGAGCGATTCAGATATCAAGAGATAAACGCGGTAGCGGAATCATTTCTACACGGTGGCAGCGGAACGAAATCACTTACGTATTCGTCCGCATCCTGCATTGTCAGTCGTATCCATGTGATACTCCCTAACAAACCACACACTCTCGACCGTGCACCGCCTATCCGAGTAGGGAGGTTTCACCAGAAACGCACCTGCCCTGACTACAACCCCTGGCTACTATCCATCGACCATCATTCGCTCCGTATGTAAGCCCTCGCCATACGCCATGCTCTCGAAAATGACCTGCCGCCATACGGCGATTGTAAACTCCGCTGCTTCTTCATCAAGAACCTACAAGACCACGTGGACTTAGCAAGGTTTGGAAGACTTGTATCGTACGTACCGGCTCGAGACCCTCCACAAGTTTGGTGGGGCTCTTGTGGTCTTTAAGGTGTTCGATGACGAACATTACAACGTCGTCGTCGTCAAGCTCACCAAGATACTTGACCATCAACTTTTTGACGAGCGGCTCCAGCTTGCGATCAATCAATTGCTACCACATACATCCAAGGTCAACAAGAGAGAAGGTTAGGTCATACTGATGAGCGCACCTCGGTGACCGCATCCCATCTGACCTTTGCCCTGAATAGCATTTCCCGCTCGCTGGGCACAGAGTTCTTAATGTGCTCCAAACGCTCCTTGGCCTTCTCGCTGTCGTTTGCTGCACTAAAGTCAAGCATTTGGAGCGGTACCTTGCGCTTGCGCGTTGCTTCTTCTTCTTCCTCCTCTGCACCGAACACAGCTGGCGCGGTTGCCTTCTCCTTTGCGGGACCTGCATCCGCCTTAGGCGCGGCCGGTGCAAGAGAAACATTAAGTCTGACTGGAGCGCCGTCATCGAGGAGCATGCCAGCTTTGCGTTGTTCTTCTGCCAGCGCCTGCAACTCGTCCATCTGTCGCGCAAGAAATGCCTCGCTCTCGCGGCGCAGGTTCTCGGCCTCACGTGCTTCGTATGCACGCATCTCGTTGTCTGCGGCTTCCTCTGCAGCGAGACGACGGGCGCGCTGAGTACGCCAGCGCACGCGGTCGGTGTAGAAGAGTTCGTCCGACTCGTCATCGTCCCAGATGTCGAGTCGCGCACGCATCTCCGCACGATCACGGTCCTCTGCTTCACGTGTGGCGCGATCGCGGGCGATCGCTCGCTCGAGAGCTTGGATGCGGTTACGCTCGCGGGGTTCGTAACGGCGTTCGCGCTGCAAAAAATATACGTGAGATGGGTTTCAATATAAATTTGATGCATTACGAACGTCTCTGAATGAATTTTCTTCATCGCGTCTCCTTGCCTCCTTTCGTTCTTGCTCAAGCTCTTCGTCTGTCTTTGCAGCCTTACCCGGAAGGTGTCGCTCATCTTCGCGCTCCCGGCTTCCCGCCTTGACAAACCCAACAGGTTTTGAGAAGCCCTGTTGAGGATCGTGACCGAGCGGCGTAGGTCCGCGCGTCTCGACAGGCCCCTGTGCCTTTCCCCATTCGCGAACCTTGGGGCCACTTGGGGAGCCCTGCGCGCTCAGGTTTGGTACGGCAGCACGGACATCGCGTAGTTTCTCGCGCTCGCGCTTGGCGGCTCGTTCACGGAATTGCGCAATCTCCGAGATAACAAGCCCGCGTTGTGTTTCTGGGAGGTCGGCTTCTTGGAGATCGTGTAGGTGAGGAGGGATTACGTATCGCTCCTTGTCCAGCAAGCCACTATTGGCGGCCTCTTGGGAGACGCGGTTGATGTCGTTGATAAGTTCATGTACCCGGGTCTTGGCTTTTTGCAGTGCTTCCTCGTCCGCCTAATACAATTTCAAAGGGTCAGAACGATAAATTGAAACATGCTGATAGGGAGGTGCAACCCCCAAGGCGGCATATTTATCCTGTCACCCGACCAGGATACATATATGCGCCGTATGGGCTACAACGGGGAACAGTTAGACCAGAAGTGTAGTGACGACGCACGTTTGTTTGCATTCGCTGGGCCTGGTAAGCTTCAAGGAACATCTTGGTCTTTTCATCTCCTTTGATCTGATGAACGATATTAAACGACGTAAAGCACAAAGAATGACGAAGACGCACCAACAACTTCTTGTTTACACAGCCATCCTCCAAGGCAGGTAGCTCAACATTATTTAAAAGTGCCATTGCTCGCAGCGCACCATCCGGATCCTCAAATTCGGCAAATCCAAAGCCTTGAGGTTTATTTGCTGGTGTGATCAACCGCTTGAAAGACTTAACACTCCCGCAAGCCTGTCACTTCTTTAAGTCAGACTTAAAGGCAGTGGTGGGTTAAAGCTCACGGAAAGGAGGTCATTGAGGAAATTATCTGTGATTCCACCTGATATTGAACCAACAAAGAGAGAGATTTGCTTCTGGGATTGGGGAGGCACAAAGCCCTGAAGATGCATTTGCTGCTGTTGCTGTTGCTGCTGCTGCTGCTGTGCAAGGGCCGATATTGAGGGGCCTTGTCCATACGACGGCAGAGGAGGACGCAGACCAAGTCCTAGCCGGTTGGGCTGCATGCTTGTTGCTATTGATTGAGACGTTTTTTCACCTGTTAGACGCGTTCATGAGCTACATAGAAGAAAGGCACAAAGAACAACCATGCCTTGACCTCACACTCCAATTCCAGGCTTACTAGGTTGTAGTCGCGAGACTGTGGAGGACGGAAAGCAAGTTGAGAGTGTGACAGTTGCACGCGTGACAAAGGCAGACTGCTTCCTCTGTCAGATGAAAAGTAAATGACCCCAATGTGCATGGCAACATGGCCGAGCGGTCTAAGGCGCTGGAATCAGGCTCTCTTTGTCTTATCCAGTCCGAAAGGGCGTGGGTTCGAATCCCACTGTTGTCAAATCTTTTTCCACGTCATGTATTTGAAATACTGAGACAAAAGATAAAAAGGTACGGTAAGTCGTTTGGCTTCATGCCAGTGGTATCTTGCTCATAACGGTGAACCCAAATTACAGCAACGGAGACAGAAGCTCACAAGTAAGTTATTTGTACATAAGGCCACGCACATGTTCTGGGCTGCCAGACTTGCAGCCAGAGCAAAAAGTGCATGAGAAAATCTGGTTCAAGTGCTAGCCAATTTGTCTTGTAATTTGTCGAGTTTCATTACCAACACTACAGCATAGTACCCCCAAAGGGATATACGACATTTTGCCTAAAAGTTTCGCCGACCCCCAACCCCCAAACCGAGGGTGGTTTGGTCCGAATTGCTGTACGATATAAATTCAGTTCGGCCTTTTCCAAGGCCTTTTCAGAGCTCATCACCCTAACGCCTGTTTCAGTTGTTTCCGCAGTTTGCTTCCGCACTCTATTGATTCCAGCATGTCCGACGTCCCTTTTGCTCACCTTCTTATCAACGGCGAGCATCTTCCTGCGAATACAGGTGCCACCTTCTCGGTTCACAGCCCATACACTGGCTCCCTCGCCTCGGCTGCTGCCGCGGCATCCTCAGAAGACTGTCGAGCAGCCATCGAAGCCGCACATCGAGCGTTCCCCGCATGGGAAGCCACCAGTTACGCAACGCGTCGAGATATTCTTCTTCGTGCAGCGGCAACGCTGCGGTCGGAGGAATGGCAGAAGAAGGCTGCCCTTGCCATGCGAGCGGAGCTGGCGATGCCACAAGCACACATTATGTTTAATTTCTTTGCTGGATCTGAATTGCTCGGGAGTGTCGCCACCTTGGTGAACGATTTGAAGGGCGAAATCCTTCCGAGCGTAGTCCCAGGAGGACAGGTATTTATACAGAGGCGGGCACAAGGTGTCATGTACGTTTCGTGACGTGGCTGTTGTCTTCGCGGCGGGCTTATCGAAACGGCAGATATTCGGTGGTCCCGTGGAATGCTCCTGTTCCGCTCATGGTTTCTTCCGTTGCCATTCCGCTCGTCTGCGGCAACACGGTAGTGGTTCGACCCTCAGAATTTTGCCCGTATTCGTCTTCCCTCGTCGTTGATGCTCTGCATGAAGTCCGTAATAAAGTACTTGGAACTGACACCTGTAGCTGACGCTCACGATAGGCTGGCCTTCCCGCGGGCGTCATCAACTTTGTGACCATGTCCGAGGACAGTATACCCACGTTGACGTCGGAAATTATCGCACATCCGGCAGTCAGGAAGATTACGGTGCATATCCTCAGACCTTTCTCCTCTATGATTTCTGATATGGGCCATCGATCAGTTCACTGGATCTGACCGCGTCGGCAAGATAATCGCGATGGAGGCGGCCAAGCATCTCAAGCCTTGCGTCTTTGAGCTTGGTGGCAAAGCGCCCTCGGTTGTGCGTAAACGAAACTCTGATTGTTTTCAGCCACGTTGACATTTGGCGTGCGGTTTTGTGCAGGTCCTCGCAGACGCTGACATCGAGCAAGCGTCGCGGGCCATCATAGCTGGCGGTTTCTTTTTCTCCGGTCAGATCTGCATGGCTACAGAGCGTGTGATTGTGCAACGACCGGTCCTTGAACCGCTTGTTTCCGCCATCAAACAGCATCTCAGCACTCTCACTGTCGGCGATCCTAAGAACTCTGAGCTCTCGTCGCTCTTTACAGAGCGCCACGCAGATGGCATCATCGCAATGGTCAAGGAGGCAAAGGAGGCCGGCGCCGAGGTTCTCCTCGGTGACATGAAGAAAGCTGGCCCTGCGCTGCTGAAACCTCACATCCTTCTTGGGGTCAAGCCAGAGACGAGACTTTGGCAGCGAGAGTCGTTTGGGCCCGTCCTGATCCTGGCAGTCGTCGATACAATCGATGAGGCCGTCGAGCTTGCGAACGCGTCCGACTACTCTTTGGCGGCTTCCCTCTGGACCAAGGATGTATACAATGCGATGAACGTTGCGATGCGTATCCGTTCAGGTATGTGGTTATACATAGTGTGCTCTTTAATAACTTGACCCTAAATCCCTTTTTGAATGGCAGGTTCGGTAAACATCAACGGCTCGACGCTTCACGTTGAAAATGAACTCGGACTTACTGGGCTTGGGTATGTTCGGGCCTTATGATGAACAAATTCCTAGCTCACGGGAATAACACAGAGGGTCGAGCGGTTATGGCAGATTCAACGTTGACAACTTCACTGAGAAGCGCACGATCACGCTGCACCCTCCGCAGGGCAGCTACCCCTGGGGTTTGTAACCAAAGATATTTCGACGTATCCGCGTCGCCGTATAGTATAGTATGTCTTGTCGCGACGGAGGCTGAGTGTGAATGTGGAAGTACAGTAGTGGCCGCTGAGCATATCCGGGGAGAGGAATGATTCACAACTCACACGAGATACCTCTCGCATGCTAAACAAGATCAAATGAAGAGCGGCGACGTCAAAAGTTGCCGGTCCTCAAAACCCGTTTTTCCAAGCGGTGAGATAGGGCAGAACTCCCTACCGTACCATACAAGGATGAAAGTCTGTGATCAGATATAGGCCCTGTACGGATGGGCTGACAACGCTGATTCTGGCATGTGGCAGACTGGTCTGCCAACGTTGTCAGCCCATCCGTACAGGGCCTAAGTAAATGAGCTCATTGGTAGAACAAATGTCTGATCACCTTGCTGCCAGAAACGTGGGAGCTTTATCGCAACGTTTATGGCGTCGGACCTGGAAGTCGGCCCCGCGCCGTGTTCCGAACTCCGCCAGGCGTAGGGATGAGTCGTACGTACAGTGCTGTAAGAAACTAGAATGTTCCCTTTATTCTTCAAATCATCCCCCCACTCGGCCACCCTTCTAGTAACGCTACAGGTGCAGAGATAACTCATATATCGGTGGACGCGAGCTCGCCATGCAATCAATAGCCAATTCTCCGAATCTCAGTCCCACCACGAGTCGACGAAGTTCTCCCCCTCGGTTTTCCACAGGGACGATTGGTGTTAAGGGTATGATGTATCTTGTGAATATCCAGCAACTCCGCATCCTGCAGTGATGATGTCGCAGGTTTCAACCTCGAGCAAATCCTGGATGCGCACAGCTTAAGACCGTGTTAAGGGCATTTGAGAATGCCATAATAGTACATACGGTTTCGGACAGCATACGTGCATCAGAAATTGTGTCGCCGACGAATCGCTCCCCATTTACGCTGCTACGATACTGTGAGCTGTGTACCTTGATCGGACCTGCAACTACAACGGAGAGGCGCCGCTTGATGTGGACACATCCATAGATTCTATGAGGGCATTGTGAAACACCAATTTGATACGCCCTACGTAAACGGGAGTACTTGTCATGTCCCGAATGTTGGAACTAAAGATAATTCTTGCGACAATAGAAACTGCGCGACTTGTGTGGTATCTTTGATTGTTGATTATAATTCATGACCACAGGAAGAAGCCCCAATTGCATCCCTTATCTATACAAAATTAAAACGAGATGTTTCATTCCTTCCAGGCAGAAAAAACCAGCAACGGTGTACGCTTACCTTCTTCGAAGGGCTTGTGGACATGTGCCTTTCTCCACCTGTTCTGAATGCCCCTCGCCTCTCATGCAGGCGTGCGGTCGTCAGGAAGCTCTTCATTCTGAAAGCACGGCAAGATGATCATCATTTAGCACTGAACCCCAGATATATTGGGTTTCCACCAAGCGGATGCCACGAACGGTCTTCTGGACATGTAGAAGTCGCACGTCCTGGTGCATGTATGCCGAAGATGGCGATATACCGACTTTGCATCGTCTCGCTTTCGTGATCCACGGCTTGTCATCATAGAGTACACCGTCAAGGAATCTGCCGGGCGTCCGGCCAATCTTGCCTATCATCACCGCCACTAGCTCGTTCGACTTAACATTATTAGCCTATTCCTGGGGGGATAACTTCATTGCCGCACTCGAACACCGTGGTCGCGTATGCCGTATCCTTGGGAATCTGAATTCTCGATACGAAGGAATGTTCCAGGTAAATCGTTCCAAGATTGTGTTTATCCTTGACGAAGTCAATCTCGGATACGCGATAACGGTGTTCGGTTGCCGCAACGATGATCTCCTCAACCCTCGCACTGTATGCAGGGGCCAGTAATGTATGGTGATAGGCAAGGGTGGCCAGACATCCGGTGAAATCCTCGCCGGTAAGATGAGCTCGCCAAAAAATTGACGCGAGGATGCAAAGACGATATGACGCCATCTTAGACATACGTGCGCCAGGCAATGCCACGTTTACACGTTGGGACACACGGCACATGGCATCTGCTCGGTAGAAATCATATATGGTTTCATCGGGGAGTGCATGATTGTTGCACAACCTGCACCAGATCTGTCAGCAGTCATCGCGGACGCTTAAAGTACCCACATCGCTCTCATCATTCACTGAATTCTCCGTGATGGTGTGTAAAATGCGTTGAACGCTCCCCTCTCACCAAGCCTTCGGAACGGCCATCGGGAACGGCCATCGATCAAGTTCAACAACACGGGAGCACTAATAAATGGAGTGGATACAGCAATGCTGTTGATCAGTAGGAGATCCAGGAGAGGCACGCCTTTGAGCGCGGTCATGTAGACTTGCCTAGTTCCTCGAAGACGGATTCAATATTGAAGGGTGGCTGCTTGAAAATACGACCATGGGGGTTGCAGATAAGCACTTGATGTGAGGCTCGCCGGGCCGGCATCGCCGAGAACGGTTCACGGTTCAATTCTCAGCGACTCAGTTATGTTCCTGAAATCTCTTTCGGTTTCCTTCGTCCTTGTAGGCGCAGTCGTTGCCACTGTAAATCTCCATGTACAAGACCCTGGTTCCCTTCCTGGGATCTTTTCGAATGCCCAAGTTCCAGCGCACCCCACACAGACTAAGGTGACCAGCGCCTGGCGGCCTGGGTTGATCTTCCGTATCTGTTCCGTACTGATCCCCTGCAATTGAAGTTTGAACCCGTCGGAGAGCTCA